AGGGCTTTCACCTACCACGCCAGTTAGCTCAGTTGGCTGGACGGCTGTTATGTGAGGCAGAATGATGCCAATAACATGGGTTCAATTCCCAGAACATTTGAAGTTACCATGAAAGAATCTCCTTCTCAGTCTTTCCCCTTGACCAGAATATGCTGACCCTCAGATTAAGCCACCAACAGTCATCTCTCTCTAATGAGAGAGTTGTCCTAGAGTCTCGTAAGACTATGGCAACTTCACTTTTTCTTAGATCTAAGAAATGCTACAAAAATACTCACTTTCTATAACTCGGAAAACAATTATAACCACGACTTCACTTATCCTTCAGTGTCTCATGATACCACGTAATCATAAAAGCATTAGGAACAGAACAATTAGCACAGTAACTTGACTAATGAAAATGGGCTGTAAATCATTGTCCACAATAAGAGCTCTTCTTCAAATGGACTGGAGCTGAGCCATGCCATACTGTTTCATAACCAAACCAATAGGAGTCAGCCTCCTGCTCACCACTCATCAGCAAATGGCAGTCACATGTAAAAATAGGAGTACATTTTCGGACATATTTTATACTATTAATGAATTTCTTAGCAGAAGTTGCAAATACATTCAGGATTTGCACAGGAGTTGCAACTTTCTTTATGGAACCTCTAAGACTTCTCAATGCCACAGGGTATTAACCAAGGGAATAACTGAGCCAAGCTATCAGTTCAAAGCTCAGTGCGTGCTACAGCAGGTGTGGACAAACTACCGATTGAGGCCCACATCCAGCCCGCAGGAGCTTTAATCGTGCCTGTAGTTGTAGCACCAGTGAAAGCAGCATACACCACGTGCATATGTACAACTGTCCATTGAGCCTGTTGAGCTTCTGAAGCTGAACAATCAAAATTCTGATCTGGAAAGCTCCAGAGAAACAACTTCAAGGCCAAGCGAAATACTTCTAGGTGAGTCAGTGTTAGTCAGTCAATGATCAGAGGCTAGAGCTTTTATTCTGAATTAAGTGTGGCTACCATGTTAAAGTGCTGAACATACATACATTGTCATATACATTGACAGCCAAAGGTAAGAGCACATGCAAGACTGCCTAGAGTTTACCAGAGGTTTGATGTACCTTTTGCTTTTGCAAGAATTTAAATGGCAATAGCGAAACTTTAATTTAAGTTAAAATCCGACTAAGACTTTTTTCAAAAATTCAACTCTTATGGAATTCTGTTAATCCCCCCATTTCTCGCATTCCTTCACTGCTTGCTGAGTTCTGGTGCAATGTGTGTTGGGAGTCCAGGACTTGAACCAGGAATCTTCAGGTCTGCACTGGCATAGCACTGCAACAATACTCTGAAGGTTTCACTGACAGTTTTGACATCATCTTTGGGTCCTGGGAGAAGCTTGCCTAGGATTGCTGCCTCTGGCACAACTGAATAAAAACTGTGCAGCTTCTTTCGAAAACAAATGGAGGACAGAAACAGTAAGAGAATACAGGCAGAGGAAATCCTGGGCTAGCAACTCATCCAGAACAATTGCCTGTAGTATTCTGTACTATTTACAACAGAACCATTTAGGCATTGGGTGATCAGCTACTTACCCAGTAGAGGTTACACAATATTGCAGATGACAAACATGACCATCTGTCTCCAATTGCAAACAACAGAAATGGTAAGATGCTGCTGAGAGCCTTTATTCATTAGAATGGTGGTATATTCATTCTCTATAAAAACAGTTTGAACTAGTGTGAGTCTTATCAGCTTTTTACTATTAAGAACATTTATAATGGTACTGGGGGACTTCTGTCTACTGAGTCAAGTTGGTGTTCTCATTTGCACAAAGAAAGAGGAAAGTAGCTTTGTTCAAAGCATTCAAATTCTTGAAGGATATTGATTTGGTAAATTGGGGAAAATGAATTGTCATGGCAGAAGAGTTGGTTACCCAAGGACACAGACTAGAATTCACAAATAATAAGAGGGTGGCAAATTTGTAAACCCAGCAAAATCTTTGCTGGTAAGCAAGGGACTAAAATATCAAAGCATAAAGGCTACAGCAAGATCCAACAACTCCTACTTATTGACCACAGTTTGGCCTTCAACACAATAATTCCAAAACAAACTCAGGTCTAAACTCTGAGACCTTGGTCCCTGCTCCCCACTCTGTAACTGGATCATCAAGTTTCTAACCCATAGACTGCAATCACTAAGAACAGGCGTCAACACCTCCTCCACAGTAATCCTCAATACCGGTGCCCCACAAGGCTGCGTACTCAGCCCCTTACGGTACCTGTTATACACTCTTATCTGTGGCCAAATTCCACCACAACTCCATTTACAAGTTTACTGATGACATAACTGTTGTAAGTCAGCTCTCAAACAACAAGAGAATGCAGGAAAGGAGATTGAGTGTTTAGCAGCCTGGTGTAAACACAACAATCTCTCCATCAACATTAGCAAAACAAAGGAGCTGGTCATTGACCGCAGGAAGTGGAGTGGAGGGCATGCCCCTGTCTGCAACAATGGTGCTGAAGTGGAGATGATTGAGAGTGTCAAGTTCCTGGGAGGGACGATCACCAACTATCTGTCTTGGTCCACCCATGTTGACGTGACAGTCAGTCAAGAAAGCAGATCAACATCTGTAATTCTTTTGAAGGCTAAGGAAACTCAGCAGGTCCACAAAGATTTTTACCAGTTCTTAGAATTATTATATCATAGGAAGCACCCTATTTGGATGCATCACAGCATTGTATGGCAGCTGCTCTCCCCAGGACCACAAGAAACTACAGTGTTGTGAACACGCAAAACCAGCCTTCCTTCCACTGACTCCATCTACACTTTCTGCTGCCTTGGGAAAGCGACCAACATAAATCAAAGACCCCTCTCACCCTGGTTATACTCTCTTTCACCCTCTTCCGTCGGGCAGAAGGTATAAAAGTTTGAATCCATGTATGAACAGATTCAAGAACAGCTTCTTCAATGCCACTATCACACTTTTGAATGGACCTCTCCAATGTTAATTCTGATCTCTCTCTCTGCAGCCTCTCTATAGCTGTAACACTGTATTCTGCACTATGTTTTGCGTGCTGCAGAACAACACTTTTCATTGTCTCAATACGTGACAACAATCAAACTCAAATCAAGAAAGTCTCTCCAAGCAATCTCTATTCAACATTTTGAGATGAGCACCTCAGTGATTAGTTATTTATACATCACCAAAAGTAGGAGCTGAAAGCAAAATCCTCTCTTCCTGCCATACATGCAGCTAAGGTTTAGACTTTTTAAGAAAATGGTCGACAACTATAATAGGAAGTATAGAAGTGTGTGGCTCTAGGTTTGCATTTCGAGAAAGCTAGAAATTATGAACATATCAGGTAACAGATTACAGGTGCTCTGGACAGCATCTCAAATTTGCTGTGAGGTTTTTAAATTCTCAGCTCAAAGCATCACGGGTGGACAGGATGCTGAAGAAGGCATTTAGCATGCTGGTCTTCATTGGTCGAGGCACTGAGTATAAGAGTTGGGACGTTATGTTACAGTTGTACAAGTTGTCAGTGAGGCTGCTCTTGGAGTATTGTCCACAGTTTTGGTCATCCTGTTATAGGAAAGACATAATTAAACTGCAAAGTGTGCAAAGATATTTGAGGATGTTGCCAGGACGAGTAGGCCAGAGTTTTAGAGGCAGTTTGGCTAGGATAGGACTTTATTCCTTGGGACATAGGAGAATGAGGGGTGACACCTTGAGGTTTACAAAATCCTGAGGGGCATAGATAGGATAAATGCATATAGGCTTTTTCTCAGGGATGGGAATTGAAAACTAGAAGGCATAGGTTTAAGGTGAGAAGTCATGGATTTAAGGAGGACCTGAGGGGCAACTTCTTCATGCAGAGAGCAGTGTGTATATGGAACAGGCTGCCAGACAAAAAGTGGTTGAGGCAGGTACAATAGCAACATTTAAAAAACATTTGAATAGGTACATGAATGGGAAAAGTTGAGAGGGATAGGGCCTATATGCAGGCAATTGGAACTAGCCGAGTGGGCACCATGGTCAGCATGGACTAGTTTAGGCCAAAAGGGCCTGTTTCCACACTCATTACTCTATGACAAAGAATGAGATGTGAACACAGATCATTATGCTCCCCACACGATGCAGGGAGTCCTTCAGATGCCTTCTGACTTCTCCATATTTCCTCTCTTTTCTTGACTGTTTTTCCCTGGGTAGCCCTTGAGCACCAAATTTGTAGACCACAGCAAAGCAGCACTTACATTGAAAGGATAAAAAACAAAATACTGCAGATGCTGGAAATTTGAAATACAAATGGAAAAAGCTGGAGTACTCAGCAAGTCAACCGGTATTGATGGGGAGGGAGGGGGAAGGAGGGATGGAGCAGGGGAAGGGAGGGAGATACCAGATTTAATGCTACTGTGAAGATGTAAAGAATGGAGTGACCCATGGCCCCCTTTATTTTAAGCCAAAAGGGCATTGAAAGAGGATACATCAGGATTTGTTACATAGTTATGAGGAGATTATCATGCAACGCACATGCTTTTTTGCATCTTTATCATAAGACTAGTATCTTGAAGTTTTATGAACCATTTCACTCCACACTACCAATACAATTTTCATACCCAGATGTAACTCACTAGTTGAAAAAGTTTGCAGACCCCTGTGTTACAGTAACCGATCTTACTCGGATCATAATGGGGTCACTAAGGCCACAGCGCTCCGAGTTTGTGGGGATAAAAACAGCCTGCATTCTCACTGTCAAAACAGTATCCACCAACCGCTATTGAAAGTGAAAACTGATGTTGACAGAAGACTTTACTGTAACATACTCCATATCAAATTAAGTGAGATATCCAATGTCAAAATCCGCGTATGACAAATGGCCAACTGGGCGATTTCCTAGAGTATGATAAGTAACTATGGAACCAAATCTGAAGAACAGATGAAAATTGGAAAAAAAATTGAACAAAATATAGAAGATATTACCACTCGCAGGATTGGGTAATTATAATTCTTACCTTCACGTTATCTGGAAGAAGTCCCCCTGGGTGTTTGTCCATATACTGGCACAGATCTGTATGCTGGAACAATAAGAAAAAGGTAAAGATAATTGTTTTATATTCATTAGCTTTTTAATCATTTAACTGTCTCAGTATATTTTGCATTTAGTTGATGCCAAGCTTGTCATAAGTATTTAATTTGTTCTTTATATTTCTTCAAATATATTAGGTATGTACATTTATCAGCTTTTACAGGATCTTCAGTTCATGCGAACCTTTCAAAAAGGTCATGAAGGCCATCAAATAATCTCATCTATACTCTATTTCATTAAATTGTGATTTGAGTTAAAAGTAAAGTTTACAGATCTTGGACTACACAGATATTGAAATACATGGTTTTAAGTTGTATTCTTAAATTTTGTATAAGGAAGAATATGACAAAACCTTAAAAGTATGGAGTAACTTTTAAAATCAAAAAAAAGAGACCTGAAAAGCACTATGATTATTCACTCGAAAAATGTTTATAAGTAAGGCCATTGAGCATCTGTCTTCTACAGTAGACAGTCACAGAAACCAGAATTGAAATGTCTCAAGAACAGAGTATATTGTTTAGGGCACTCTGGTTCAACCATTCTGGTTATATCTAGAAAAGAATCATAATACTGCAATGAGAAATAGATCTATTGCAACAAAATAATGGAATCATGCACTCAACATTTGACAATGCTTTTTTTCTTTCTTGGTTTCTTAGGGGAAATAAGAGAATTAACAAACAATAAATAGGTCTTGGCTCTGGTGACATATCTGATTAAAGATGTAAATGTGCAAAATTTCCAAATTACATAACAGACATATAGTTAGGCAACTGTAATGCAAAAAGATGACAAAAACACATTCAAGGACAAATTCTCAAAATGGAATTTTAGAAGGTGATAGTGACATTTTATCTAGCCTAACCACAAATGAATCTAACCGAAATCTAACAAATGAACTGAATTTAAGAAAGAAGCTAGTATTTCCAAGTAAAACAGAACAATGTTTAGCATTAGCCAAGGGGCATTTTGCCACTTCAAATATTTTTGGCATCATTTTTCTACATGTATAAAAATACTTTACTGATTTTACACATATATCAAATATTTCACGGAAGTCAGACAGCAGCAGGATGATCATCAATTTTTTTTTTTAAAAAGTTTAGTATCCAGCAAAACTATATTTGTTATAAAAAATTTTATTGACTGAAACTCATACAATTATTTCAGCAGAAAAATTAGGCTTCGATACCTTATGTAATTCTTGGAACCAAAGTCATCTGAACAGAAACCCAATTTTTCCTCATTTCATATTTTCCAAATGCTCCACTTAGTTTCCCCTATGTAGTTGCCATATAATGAGCAGGATTAATCTTAATTACTGTAAGAGATGCCAGTGGAGGTGGTAAATTTGCTCTCTCATTTTTGGAATTTTTTTTTGTTTTGTAGCAGGTTTCCTCATTTCTACAACTAGTTCAAAAATAATGCTGGGGTCAGTAAAATAAGGGGAATTGGATCAAAATAAAAGGAACTTCGTTTCCTCATTGATCTCGAAATGCTTAATGTAACAGCAAATGTGACATGATGAGAGACACTGGTGCATTTTTTAAACAGGACAATGGAAATCGATCTTCATGGAGTAGTTGGCATCTTGCCATACCAGTAATGATTTCATATGTGTGACATTGTGAAGTAATGGATGATAAAATTATTTCTTAAGTACAAATCCTCCAATTAGTGATGGTTATTATTTCCATAATTACATGTCAAAAGCCCATGTGAGAGAGTCCATTATGTATGATTTATTCCCTTAACAGCTACATTAATGAGCTGGCAAACTATTTCTATTAGACTTTTTAAAAAACAAAAATAAATCAATGTTTGGTCACTGAAAAAAAGCAATATTTCATGCATAATCTTAAGCTTATTATTTATACTTAATTATATGAAATAATGCATGGCTTTTTAATGTTATGGAGAATATCAATAAATTTTGTTGCTATGCCATTCAATAAAATATTGATAATTTGTCCTAAATTATCGAGGATCATTACCTCTCACAAAATGCAGGATCGGCATAATTAATTAATTAATTTTCACCAGCAGAATTAAGGGAACACAAAGGAGATCTTCAAGCACTGGTAAATAGCTAATGGAAGCTGGAACCTTGAAAGCAGGCTGGAGAAATATACATTTTTCCACTTTGAAAAGTGGTACTTTTAAGAGCCAATATAAAAGTTAAATTTAGAAAATTACTTTAAAATTAAGATAGACAAAACAGCCACAGGCTCAAACTACATTGATCAATTTTAGGACAGATACCAAAAGGATTCTCTCTTAGTGACAACCTAATATCTCTCTTACGGTAGAGGAGAAAGCACAGAATCATTCAAAAGCAAATAAATCTTGCGAGTAAATCTGATGATTTGCGTGTAGATAAATAAATCAGTATAATGTTCACTCTCCTGAACTGTGGAAAACCATAAAATGAACAATATAATAAAGGTACAACATTTTCTATTCATGCTAGTTTTTTCCCCCCAATGCATTTAGTCTTTTTCAACCTGCACACTTTTAACTTTAAAGTAACTCTGAGCTGAAACAATCACAATGGTGTGCAGAGCCATTTCATAGACTCCTCCAAGTGTATACATGACAGCATCACTGCAATGCTTCCCCACACTGGTTAGCACTGGTAGTCAACCCCATACCATGTTTTTTGGTCACTAAACATCAAATGTCGATCAGTACTGATTTCCCCAAATCTCTCCCACAGTTGTTTTTAACGCATTCTCCAATTAGGGTGTATCTAGCTTAATAGGGAGAGCCAACCCATCAGCAAACAGCAACAGATGGTATTGTCACGTGTATGAAGGGCAATGATAGCACAAATGCATTCCACATGTCCTAATGGCCACTATTACCGGCCCCACTATACCCTGTAGCCAGAGGCAATTCATAAGGGACAGGCAGAATGTTATTTCTTTTTGTCACACCTGCTTCCCTGCAACTCTCCTAGTCCTGACAATCAATGTTCTATGCTTCACCATATGTTCCCTCATTCAAATAACTATACACTTGTCACAAGATGTTTGCGATAGAGATGAAGTTTGCTTCAAATGTGTATGTTGACGATTGCAGTTCCACTGATTATCCTCTCTGGAAGTGTGCTGCAGAACACTTGAGGGTTTCCTTCACTATGTGAACACTGCAAATGAGATATCATGAACACACTGTACACTTGGGGTTATTATATTATTACATGAACTATTAAGAACCCATGCGCAGTGTGTAAGGGTATGTTGATGAACACAGTATAAATATATGCTTAATTTGGGGCATACCAGATGTCCAAACTCAAACCCCTCTCCCTATTCACCTCATTAATTGTACAATCCCTTAACCGACTGAAGTTAACAGCATCTTCTCAGATGTTCAACCACATGTTCTGCTGGCTGTTCTCCAAATGTGGTTTTGATCCTAAATATCACAGTAGCATGAATTAAAATTTGTGATTTGGCACAGATATCTATGCCTCAAAATAATAAAACTATTTTGCATCCCTCCTAACAGTCACTCAATCTTACGTCAGTCTGTATTTTGTTTCAAAGCCATATTTCTGTCCTTTCTTGTTACTTCCTGATCTTATTCTGACCCATCCTTCATGCTGCCTGAGAGATTCCAGAATTATTCCAACACTGCACGATAGTCAAACTAAAAAAAAGTAGTGTTCTGGTTGCTTTGTGTCATGCTGTATTACGATTTCTACCAATTTTCAGCAAAATAGGCCTTTCAATTTTGAATTTTATAGAAGAATCATTAATTGAATAGTTTCATAAATGATTTTTTAAATTAATTTTTACTGTTAGGTGAAATTTTTTTAAGCAACATAGAGAAGCATATTTGAAAGTGGCCACTACTTTGTTGCTAAAGTGGTTGAAAATTATAACATCAAAACCACTCTTTCAGACAATCCAGAGAAAATTATCTTCCTTTAAACAGGAATACAGTTATTACTGATACTTTGAACGAAAAGCAAATCAACTTAAAATAAGTCAAAGTTTTGTGTCCATCTTCCCTTTGTTATTTACTCCCATCCTCTCATTACTCACACTGTCACGTTACTCACGGGGATCATCGGCCCCTCCAGGATATCAGATAAGGGGCCAATCTGTAAATGAACCAAGCACTCAATGGCATGCAATTCAAGCGTCATGGTTCACACAAAGAATCTGACATGCTGGATAGATGACTGGTCTCTTCAATGATAGAACTGAATGATTCCATTATTTGTGTGTTGCAGATGGCACAGTACAGAAGTCTGGTTCCATGGAATCATGTTGGGTAGGGGTCGTGGGGAGGTGCAGTGTTGGAAAAACAGTTGGACAGTGAGCTATAGGGAAGATTAACTTGCAAAAACAAGTTACTTTTGGATTTCTGGGCCCTGCTGGATAAACTCAGAAGACAGCGACCAACGTGAACAACCAGTACCGAAGCACCCAAGCTGATCCTCAGTGTGTTGTTTTACTTTTTATTGAATTCAAATATCACCATCTGCTAATAATGTGAACTGAACTTGAGTCCTCAGAACATTTACCTGGGGTTCTAGATTACTAGTCCATGGATAAGACGTAGGAGCAGAAACAGGCTATTCAGTCTATTTTGCTGGCTTTGCCATTCAATAAGATCATTGCTGACCTGATAATCCTCAATGACACTTTCCTGCCTTTACCCTGAACCTCGATTCCCTTACTGATTACAGGTTTGTCCATTGCAGTTCTGTCAGTTAACTTTCCAATGTTGCCTTCTAAATTTCCCTCATCTCTGCAGAAATGCAATGTGTGTAGGAGAAAAAGAATTAACAGCAGAATTACTCAAGATTCCTGTTGTGCTTTGTCAAAGAACCTGCTTTAATCAGTCCTGTGGACCATCTTCTGACTAGAAAATCTGAGTCTGGGTATCCCTCAAGTAGTTCACTCCTGAAGCAAGACTGCAAAGATCCAATAACTTAAAAATTAAATTTAATAATGGTTCCCAAATCCAAAAGGCCATGATTAATAGAGCACATTTGATGGGCTGAATGGCCTACTTCTGTT